AAACGTAATAACGGTAAGGGTGGCTTAGGGCATCAACTGATGTCAGTGCAATGGAGGTTCTAAGGATCGAGTCCCGACGATGTCAGAATTTAGCACACTAGCTTCTAGGTCAGATTCAGCCGCTGTCTAGAGGAGAATTCCAGCGGCCTGCTGCTCTGATCGAGAGTTTTCCATTGTTTCTCCGATCAGTATCGGGAGAATGCGAAACAGAACCCTAATAAATGGACCACGGGCCACATGCATTATTTTCATTTTATTCCTTGTCTTATCATCCTTACTCCTTACATACACACACTTGCACTCGCTGTCACAATTGTCGAAAGAACAGCGGAGAGCGTAGAGTTTGTCTCGGCTTAGGCGGTGCCACGCTGGTGGAGATCCCTGGTTGGGAAAAATCTCCGCAAGCCGATGTAGGCCGGCGCCGGATCTCGCCATCCAGCGGGGGAAGATTACTCCTGCGGTAAAGCATGCTCTACACTTACGGGACTACTGACCTTAGCAGTTGACGCGCCCGGAATCTAATCATTCTATCAACCAGACGTTGTAACTTAATATTATGCAAAAGTATTTTTGAAATACAATTAAATATAAATACGTTTATAACGAACAACCCTCATGAGTGAGAACGTGAAACTTTTTTATCCCACTCTTGCTACGTGTGAACACAAGTTTTCCATGCTTTAGAGATAAGGAAATTACCCAATATATTATTGCGTTATCGAGCGATAGAACTATCATTGTTTTTGTCTCTGAGCGATTCTATTTCTGGATTCTTTGATTTGCATAAAGTTTTGCGGAATATGGTATAGCGTGTGCACTTACAATGGCCTCGACGTTAGTAAATAACATTTTATCTACTGCCATATTGCTGTTTGGAAAGTGAATTTTACAGTCTTTCAAGTTGGGATTTTTGTGCGTTTTGACGTTGTAGAGATATAATATTCCAAATTAGTATCTTCTTATATGTGTACAGTAGGACTCAATAGCTTAATTTTCACTTAAGAAATGACTTAATTTTCAAAACAGCTAAGATTAGACCATCCTTAAAGAAAGGCGGACGGAGAGGCGGACGGGCGGACGGGCGGACGGGCGGACGGGCGGACGGGCGGACGGGCGGACGGGCGGACGGACGGACGGACGGACGGGCGGACGGACGGACGGACGGACGGACGGACGGACATGAGAACGTACAGGCGGACGGAGAGACGGAAAGGCTTGCCGTCGGAGAGACGGAAAGGCTTGCCGTCGGAGAGATAGACAGGCGGACGGACGGACGACATGCAGAAAGACAGACGGACGACATGCAGACAGACAGACAGAGGGACGACATGCAGATGACAGACGGACAGACAGACAGACATATAGACGGACAGACATATAGACGGACAGACATATAGACGGACAGACATATAGACGGACA